AGTTGGGTTCTGCAGACGGGGCGGCTGCAGGGTTACACGTGAGGACAGGTACTTGGCGGCACAGGGCCATGCAGTACAAACTGACAAAATGGGCACCAGCTAAATGCCCCAAAGCAGAGTAAGATAAAGTCCACCGTGGTGCATTCAAGTGACAGAAGACCACGTAGCTGTTAAACAAAGAACCACAAAGGCCAAGGAGACGCACACATAATATAATGCTAAGTGGGAAAATGGAACAACTGATTGCATAAACCCAGAGTTTAGAGCTGAATAAAATCATTGATAATGACAGGAAAAAAAATCACAGACAAGGGGTAATAGCTCCAAGAAGACTCTAGTTTTGATTCCCTCATAGTGTTATGTAAGCATGAGCTTTTTTTTAAAAAAGGAAGAATATCTGGTCACTCCCAAATTATCTCCTCTGCTGAATCCGAAGAGACCTGTCAGGACTCCAGAGATTTCAAAAGGAAAACTCACTTCCTTTTCTTTACTCTTGGGCCCAGGATTAGTTACGCCTTATGCAAGGTTGAGGGAGCAATCACAAATAAAGACAAGTCTAATCATTTCTTTTCACTAAATAAGTCCCAGTTTAGAAATGCCAGCAGATGTGTGAAAGAGCTAAGAACAATGAACAAAATTGTTGCTTTATTTTACCTGGAATATCCATGGTGTCAGTGAGTTTTATAGCTGGAAGATAGTCTAGAAATCTAGCCTAATGGATTTTAAATTCTGTCCCACTGAAATGGCTTAGAGATCACTCCTGGGAGAAAGGGGTGACAGGGTGGGCAAGCAGATGCTGTTCCTTTGTCTCCCCCACAACGACATCCCTCTGGTGCTCCCAACACACAGGTAACCAGAGCGGTTTTGCTAATATCAGTTTCATGTGCTGGACAGCATATGAGAAGCAAGTGGAAAGATTTTAAAACATCCAGCGTCCTGGAGTGAACCCTGTACCCCACACCCATGGAATCAGAATTCCTATAACAGAGCCCAGCAATCAGGGTCATCTTAAAGCTCTTCATCTGATTCTGATGCAATCCAAGCCCAGAAAACCTCTCTACAGACAACTGGACAGAGAGGCCCATGGCCTTTGTTGAAATGCTGCCCGTTTGGGGAGCTTCCGCACCACAGAAAGCGTGTTTAATTCCTAAAAGAGAATCAACTTTCCATGAGGCAGAACTGGCTCTGTTTTTGCCTCTCCTGATGTACAGAACCGGTGAGTTCCCTCATTCCCAGGACAGGTGAGGCCACAAACGCTGGTGACCAGCCCTTCACAGCAGAACTTTCACCCTGTCTCAGGCTAAGCAGCCCCAGGCGCGCCCCCCACCTCCACCCTGCAGGTGGAGCTGCCAGCCAGCATCCTCACATCCCCCGCTGGCTAGGATAGGGTCACAAAAACAGAGCCCCTGTGTGGGTGGAAGACAGCAGCGGGCTGAGGCCTGGCTCTGAGAGCGCCGTGTGCCAGCGTCTCCCCCCACCCGGTCCTGCCTCCTTCGCTCTTCTGCAGCGGCGGCTCTGAAGAGCGCGCCACTGTGGAGTCCGTTTTCCCAGGGAGCCCAACCCATGTCACTAAGGAGGGACTCCGTCTAGGAAGAGGACGTGGGGCAGAGGGTGACAGCCGCAATGAGAGACACCCGGAGGGAGCCCTACCCGCACCCGGGGCCCCCCGTCCTCCCACTGATGTTCGCTGTGCATGATCCCATGTAGCTCCAAGCGTCTCATCAGCCTGAGTCAAGCTGTCCAAACGTGGACCTGCCAGGCTGGAGGATGGGGAGATTTCACCTTCATCAGTGTATTAATTTAGCTGGAGATTAGCTCAGCTTTTTAGTAGCCCAAACATGCTGTTTATTAGAGCTTATGCTTGACAAAGACTCCTACATCCCTCTGTCCAGCCGGCTCCCCTTCCCTGCGTCCAAACATTATTTATGCTTCTCAAAAAGCTGCCTCAAGTTTATGACTGGCAATATTTCGTAATGTCCCAAACATGAGATGAGATCTGGAAGGGGTTCGGGAGAAGGAGAAGTGTTTTTTGTTTTTTTTTAAGTTTATGGTATGAAAACAGTGAATATTGGAAGAAATTATTTTTCCATAATTGCACACATTGTCCACCCATCCTATGTTCGGCCCCCTTGAGAACTGCAGACAACAACTCTGTTGTGATGGCTTGGAGTTCATACAGTTCTCATTTGGGATTTTTAATTAGATCTGATGTGTCTTGTGTACATAACAAAAGTCCCAGAGACATTCGCCCTGCTGGTGGTGAGGCTGTGTCTGATAACCAGATGCCCCGGTGGTTAAGCCCCACTGAGAAAACTGAGGAGGTGACAGACTTGGGGTCAATTTCCTTTCTTTAATTTCCCACTGCGGAATGTTTGGAGGTCGATGGGACTGAGAGACCATCAGGAGCCCAAGTAGCAGATACCCCACTCCCTTGATATTCTTGCCCTAAGATGCCATGGCAGCCTGCTGATCAGACCTCGCCCTCTGCGCACAGAGCCCCAGTGCTGTCACCTCCCACGTCTTCCTCCTTAGAGCCCAGTGATGTCCCATAGTTCTCAGCATACCACATCGGAAAGTTAGCACCAGTTAATTATCTTTGGCAAACTAAAGGAACTTCATTTTCTTTATTTGTCCCAATCACTCTGCACTCTTCAAAGAGAGAAATCATTGAGCCCAATTTCTATCATTGAACTCTTGATGCCCAATTCAGTGTTCTTTCCATCTGTCCCTTTCTGAAAATTCTCCTGTTTTTTCAACTATTACAGGTTAGCAAACTGCTCAGGTATGCAGAATTCTGGCCCAACTTCAACAGGTGTGGCTTCCATTACTGCATGTCCACATAGCCGTCCCTCGTGACACTTGGGCTGTGCAGGCGGGCATGGAGGCCGTCTGCAGGAGGAGAGGTGGTCGAGTCAGAGCTCGGTACCCCCAGGGCCTCACACACTTAATAATAAAAAAATGCTAAGACAAATAGAAACATGCTCTGTACCCAGTGACTCACAGATCTAAGCTAATCCCACAATGGCCCCACCTCACCATTAAAAACATGAGAGAGAGAGAGAGAGAGAGAGAGAGAGAGAGAGAGAGAGAGAGAGAGAGAGAGAGAGAAATACAATTCCATGTATGTCTGTCTGTTTGGTTACCACAACCACCAGCCATAAATGGCAAATGACTCCGGACAAATGGCTTTGTTTGAAGCTGAGGCTATTGTTCAGGCCCCTGAGCTCTCACCTGGGGTCTTAAATAAGTATGTGGCCTTTGGATATTTCGCTCCCTTGAAACTGCTTAATTGCTATAGCACCAGCTCCATCTTATTCATGCCAGAAGGATGGCAGAGCTGTAGGCAGGATGGAAAACAACCGGCTGGCATGAGGTGCCCTGGGGGCCAGTGAGAAATTGCAGGCTGATGTGTCAGGATCCAGGAAAAGATGGGTGTGGTAACTGCGTCCTTCTCCCTCCTCAATACAGAAAGAACACACCTGCACCTCCAGCTCCTGTCCCAGAGGGTCAGAATGCCAAGGCAGAGTGAACCTCAGGGACGCCAGACACAGTACCATCACTTAACAGATGAGACAGGCTCAGGAAGGGAAGAGGCCTGGCCGAGGGCACACAGCAAGTACGGTTGATGTTTCCAACAGCAGGTTCTTCGAGGAATAAAAAGAAAGGAGCTGGAGACATGTAAACATCAGAAACAACGATCAACTGAAATTTTTTATCTAGGGAAACACGTCGGTCTTTACACAACTGCCCACCGTGGAATGAGTCCCACTTAGCCCTTCCGGCCGGTGGGGCCCTTTCTTCCCCAGCTCTGACTCTCAGAGGCAGAATGCTCACTGCAAGGGGACTCACGTTGGAAACGGACTTTGTGGCTCACTGTCTGCTCTCTTCTAGGCCAAGTTCCCTAAGATTTTAGGGGATTTCACTACATCTGTGACAAGTTGGCAAGACAGGGGTCTTCCTTGCATTGAAGGTGAATATTCGGTTTGTGGATCCGTGATTGATTGCATGGAATAAAAGACAAAGTAATTCATGATTAATTCAGCATGTTATAGGTTAGGATCAAGGCTCAGATGCGCTATCCCTTTAAATTCTTGTAATGACCCCAGGAGTGAAAATGATTATTCTATAGTTTCACAAGCTAAGAGAGATGATTAAGTAACTAGAAATGGAGTTCAGAGAGGTTAGGTGACTTGCCCAGCTGCACAGAGCCAGGATTCAAGACCGAGTCGTCCTGGTTTCCCCTTGTCTTCCGCCCTTGCTCCCCGAACCTCACTCCTACTAGAGCGTTCTTCACATGGTATAACCACACCCTTATTTTATCAATACAACAGTTCTGTGGGGGGTCATCAGAATATTAATCACATTAAAAAGAGATTTTTGAGGTAGGAAATCCACGTGGCCTTGAGGAAATCATCCTGTGCGTGGGCCTCGGTCTTCCTCATCTGTAGTATGGGGGCAATACAAGCATCTAACTGACAGGTTTGTTTAAAGATGAAATGAGATGACATAAGTGAAAAGCACACTGTATAAACCACTGAGTATCATTCAGTGAAAAGTGAGTAAGTTCACAGAAAATGAGAGAGATGACAAAACAACACCCAAGGAGCTAACCCAAGGAGCTGGGTCTAGTGTAAAATCATTACTTGGTTCATAGCAAGTAATAATAGTAATATATTATATCTACATAATAGTTTTGTAGCTTATGTCGCTTTTTATAACACAATTCTCATCTGTAACTCCAGGAGAAAGATATCCTCCCAGCCTGGGGCAAAATACCTTTGAACTGAAATCAGTCAAAGAGAAATAAAGTGGGAGAAACCCGTTTATGCTTATAAACAGGCATCCACTTCTGCTCGCCTGAGTCTCTTGTAACCTGGCTGCAGAAAAAATGGGCCCCACCCAACCTCTCTGGTCCAGATACGCCCTCGCCCTCGGTCCCCCTTGTAATTACTTATTGACATGGAGATGGCTAGTCTCCACCCCTTGGAAACACAGTTGTTATGAAATGCACTAAGGCCAGGTGAGAGATTCTGGAAATACTGCAATTTTAACCACAGCCACCCAGCAGCGGGCCCTGCTTTGGGGCTAGGCCAGCCCCACTTCCTCTCCTGAGGGCACTGCAGGCCTCTCTCCTCCTTTGCCCTTCCTCCCCAGCTCCTGTCAGCTTTACCTTCTCCCGTTGTTTCCCTTTCTGCCCTGCCTAGTGTCCTCCTCTGCTGCAGCAGACGCTGCTTAATCCCCACAATGACTGCACTTCCTCCCTGCAGGGCCCACCAGACATTGCTCGTTTCCTTCCCCAGTCTGCACTTAGTGGTGCCTCAGCCCGGAGGGTTGCATATACAGTCTCTTTCCAGAGTGCATAGCTAACAGACTTTTCCACAGCATCTCTAAGTTTAATATCAATAATAAACTCAGCCCTTGCTATGTGCCAAACTGCAGATACTAACTCATTTCTTCCTTTTAACAAACCCACAAGATTGTGAGATACTGTTATCAACAGACCCAGTTTACAGATGAGGAAGTCAGACACAGGGAGACTGAGTAATATCCAGCTAAGAATATAAAGCAGCAGGACGGCAAGCCGAGCAGCGGGCACCAGAGTCACTCCAAGCCACCCACAGGATCGGCTGTGCACGGGTGGATTTTCCCACAGGGCTTTTACTGGACTTCCTCTTTCCGTAAATCTTTCACTCACCCCACAGGACCCTGCATTCTCCTTTCTCCCCAACCCCACTTCCCAGTTTCTCTGTCAGCCTCTGACTTATTCCCGAGGTGACAGAAAGGGTGGCCCCAGCCTCCCTCCTGCATTCAGCACCCCTCCCTGTCCTCGGACAATGGGGCAGCAATAAGGTTTGGGAAACCAGCTCTAGGGCCCAGCCCTCTGAGTCTAAGCCCAGGCTCTACTCTTAGGCGCTCTGTGACCCTGGACAGCAACTTGGCCTTTACTTAAGCCTCAAAGAAACAGCCTCAGAGAACCACCATAAGGATTAAAGGAGACTGTGCTTGAAAAGGCCACAACCCCGAATCCCATCACAATATGTGCCAAACAGAAAAGTCCCTCAGAAAATAAGCACTGACTGATAAAGCACCAGTCTGCAAACCACCGGGAAAAGGCCATATCTGAGTTCAGAACTTTGTTAGATAACTTCTCTATCCTTGGTGTGAGCTACACATTGAAGTTAGTGCTAGAAAAACAATAAAATGAAAGAATAGTGTCCACCGCTGTGCCCAACTTACCCCGTGGTCCACTCCTCAGGACAGCTTTGTGCAGTGGGCACTCTCCTTGAGCCCATTTTGTAGAAGGGGTTAAGTGACTTGCCAATTTCACACCAGAAATGAATGTTAGCGTCAGGAGCTGGGCCCGTTTCGCTTTACTGATGAATTCAATGCAATATTCATTAAGGGATCCCATCTCCTTTATTTTTTTTAAGACTCACTCAAGAGCCGCCAAGTCCAGAAGTGACTACAGATTCTGCACGAAGTCAGCTGAGTGCGGTCAGAGGCTTCTCAGCCCCTTGTCCCACCACCTGAGAATCAGGACATGCCTTAAATTCAACACAAAAAACCACAAATTGCACCTACAGTTACATTCAGAGGCCATTGAGACTGTACAGATTCTTCATGAGGATTGAACTTAATATTTTGAAGGTTAAAATTGCCACTTTTTCTTGAAAGATAAAAAGCATAATAAGACTTTCATCACTATCAAACAGAAACATTTTTAAGAATGCTATGCATTTCAAAACACTTAATGAGGTGTGCTGATCAGACGTAGAAGGAATCAAGTCTGCAGTGCCTTTTATATAGGGTCCTATGCTTGTGTCTGTGTGTGTATGGAATGGTAAATAACACGCTATTCTTTTCTTCCCAAATTTACAGTACAGTCATGTTACTGAGATGAGGCACTGACTGAAAGACCCAGGCAGCCCCACTCATTTAGGCAAGTAGTCCTTCATAAATAAAGTTATTCCACTGAATCATGCAAATAAGCAGAATTTGAACCTTGACTAAACATTTCTTATTTATTCACTTATTCAACAAATATTTCTTGAATTCCTACTATGTGCCAGTCACTTTTACAGTATCTGGGGACTGAGTGGTGAAGAAGGCAAGCAAGTGGCCCTCCCTCTTGGGTCTTAGATGCTGGTGATGAAGGAAGACGAGAAATAGTAATTAACGATCAAGTAACATAACGCAGGTAGTGGAAAGCATGGGGCCAAAAAGCAGCAGGGCCTGTGATCAGAACACAGCCCGTGGAGGAAGGGGGGGCTTGAGGTCCCGAGGTCCAGGATGGTCTCGCAGGGAAGGTGGTGTGTGAGAGGCCAGGGGCTGTACCACGTGGAGATCTGGGCTCGGGGCTTCCTGGATGAAGGTGAGAACCAGTGCAGAGGCCCCAAGGCAGGACTGAGCTTGGCGTCTTCAGGAAAGGCGCTGTAACTGGGATGATGCTGCCCATCTTGTGATGGAAATTGGAAAGGAAATGAGGTTGGAGAAGGAGACGGGACAAATCACTGGGCTCTAAGGGGTCTGTATTTTCTTCTGCATGTTTTGGAAAGCCATTAAAGGGTTGAGTAGATCTATGCCCTTAAAAGACTACTGTGCCGCTGAGTGTTACATAGATTTGTCCATGAAAGACCAGGTGATTTAAAAAATAACTGGGGTTCTGCGGCTTGTCATGGTTCATCTGAGACGGTTTCATTAACCTTGGTGAATCCTCGGATAGGGAAGAGGGCCTGGCTCACTGGGAGGAGGAAGCCGCTCCTGGTGAGAGTAAATGCCTGGATGCGGGTGTAGGCAGGGGGTCGGTACGTTGTGTAAGTCGGTGTTTCCCAAAGCATTTCATTTAACATTAGTTTCAAGGTGTGTGAATAAATTCTACAAAACAAAGGTTCGAGTCAGCCTGAGAGATGCTCTGTTCAGAAAAGGTGACCAGGCCCTTCCTGGAGCCTTCTCAGAATCTCCCAGGGGCTTGCCCACACCTGGACTCCTGCAGACAGGGCTGAGGTCTGTAGGCTTCCCCACCCTTACTTGACCACAGGACTCTTCACATAAAATACATGCTGGGCGCCCCCAGTGTAATGACTTCACCTTAAAACCAGCTAAGACCTATTCGGAGATGAAAACAGGGATGTAATAAGTAATAGTCCTTGAGGTCAGGGATCAGGCATCTGGGTTTAATAGGAGGCCAAGGTAAACTTACCAGATAAAGTTCATAACAAATAACACAAGAAGGTCACTTTTGCGGTCCTGTTTAGAACTGTAGGGCAGAGCAGAGGTCTCCAAACATTCTAGGAAGTTTGCAAGATGATCCGTGAGAGTGAGGGAAGAAAATGTTATGATGTCTGTTTATATGTATATTGTTTCCAAAAAGCATAAAGAAATTAATATTCTAATATTTAGCACATGGATTGAAAGTGGCACAATGTCATGTGATTTTTAAACATTAGATTTCGATGCTCAAAAATGTTATGGAAAAGGATGCATGATCATGAAAAGCTTAGCGATGAGATGACCTAGAGAAGAAGGCATCCGGTGCACGTAGAAGTGAAGAGGAAGGAATGAAATCAGGAACTTGATGGGAGTGGGATATTCAGGGACAGGGTGCTGGGGAACTGCAGGTGGCATCAGCAGCAACTCTGACAAAGTGGGTGTAGAGTGGAACAAGTGATGACTTCAAGGCTAGGAGCCCTGGCAGTGGTTGAAGTTCATGTTGGGAAATTGGGAAAGAATAGAACAAGTGGACCAGGCAGTCATCCTGACCCTTTGCAGTACTCAACCCACTGTTCCAGACATCATGTGTGTTCAGTAAATGTTGGCAAGATGAATGAATGAGTCAGTAAGTGAATTAATGAATGAGCATAGGCAGAGATCTTGGGAAAAGAATATAGATTAGGAAATTTGAGGCAAAATGAAAATCATCTTCCAGATCAAGATTCCACACAATGTCACTTCCTAAAACAAAAAAAATCGTAATAACCTCTGATACTTGTTAATTTTTTAACATGAGATCAGTAGCATTTTCAAAAGAGCAATTTCTTGGATGTATCTGTATTTATTTTTATGATAGCCTTGAAAAATGTTTTATCATATATGTTCATTGCAGAAAAATCAGAAAATACAGGCAAGCCAAAAAAAAAAATGGAGAAAAAAATAAAGCTTATCATACCACAACCCAAAGATAACACAGGCTATTTTCTAAATAATGGGCTTATACTATATACACTACTTTGTAATTTTCACTCAATGATATGTTCTAAGCATCTAGGCATGTTAGTAAATAGGCTTCCATAAAGTCATTTTCAACACCTGTGGATTATTCCATTAAATGTAGGTATTGCAATATACTCCACCTCTCTTCTGTTACTGAACCATTAAGCTGTTTCTTTGCTTGTTTTCATTATAAAGATGCTGCAATAAATACATCCAATTATATCTTTGTCCATATTCTTAATTAGCTCCCCAGGCTTACTACCTGGAGGTTGAATTACTGAGTTATTTTAAATGTCTTTGAAATGCATTTTTTGTATCTGCCTCTGGTAATTTTGAATGAGATTTAAAAATTTATGTGAACCTTTTAGTTTAAAGTGCGTTTTCACATGTACTCATAACTAACCTGATTTCTGCAGCAAATCCAAAGACAGGCCTTGTCCCTATTTCACAGGTAAAAAAGAATTCCCAAGATAGGAGCCCTGGCAGTGGTTGAAGTTCATGTTGGGAAATTGGGAAAGAATAGAACAAGTGGACCAGGCAGTCATCCTGACCCTTTGCAGTACTCAACCCACTGTTCCAGACATCATGTGTGTTCAGTAAATGTTGGCAAGATGAATGAATGAGTCAGTAAGTGAATTAATGAATGAGCATAGGCAGAGATCTTGGGAAAAGAATATAGATTAGGAAATTTGAGGCAAAATGAAAATCATCTTCCAGATCAAGATTCCACACAATGTCACTTCCTAAAACAAAAAAAATCGTAATAACCTCTGATACTTGTTAATTTTTTAACATGAGATCAGTAGCATTTTCAAAAGAGCAATTTCTTGGATGTATCTGTATTTATTTTTATGATAGCCTTGAAAAATGTTTTATCATATATGTTCATTGCAGAAAAATCAGAAAATACAGGCAAGCCAAAAAAAAAAATGGAGAAAAAAATAAAGCTTATCATACCACAACCCAAAGATAACACAGGCTATTTTCTAAATAATGGGCTTATACTATATACACTACTTTGTAATTTTCACTCAATGATATGTTCTAAGCATCTAGGCATGTTAGTAAATAGGCTTCCATAAAGTCATTTTCAACACCTGTGGATTATTCCATTAAATGTAGGTATTGCAATATACTCCACCTCTCTTCTGTTACTGAACCATTAAGCTGTTTCTTTGCTTGTTTTCATTATAAAGATGCTGCAATAAATACATCCAATTATATCTTTGTCCATATTCTTAATTAGCTCCCCAGGCTTACTACCTGGAGGTTGAATTACTGAGTTATTTTAAATGTCTTTGAAATGCATTTTTTGTATCTGCCTCTGGTAATTTTGAATGAGATTTAAAAATTTATGTGAACCTTTTAGTTTAAAGTGCGTTTTCACATGTACTCATAACTAACCTGATTTCTGCAGCAAATCCAAAGACAGGCCTTGTCCCTATTTCACAGGTAAAAAAGAATTCCCAAGCAGGTATAAGCCTTTCTCAAGTATATACAGCACTCACACTGAGCACCCATCAGGGCTCTTTCCATGTCACTGGATGAAATGCCAACATGTCCATGAAAAATGCTGGTACCCTGATTTAAATGTTCTCTTCAACAGCAAAATTCATGAGCTCAAGTTTCTAATGAGGGTGTTTCAAAATTGAACAATAGTTAGATATTGCTTGTTTGACATTGAATTCTCCTTCCTGACAACTTGCCAAACAACAAACTTTGCTCTTGTGTAAGACCCTTTGTTAAAATGTGGTTGTTTATAACTGGCGCCTGGCTGCCAGTCGTGTTTATAGTATTTGGATATTCTTATTTGCCTTTAAGCAGTGAAAGGATCAGAGAAGTACAAAGCTCAGAAGAACCTTGCAGATCATTTCAGTCCCACCGCGCTAGTGGAGACAAGGACGCCTGTCTGCGTCTAACGGGGAAGCGACTTGCCCGAGGTCATGCAGTGAAGAGCAGAGGTGGGGTCAGGAGGGGAAGTCTCCTGCTCTCCAGCTGGAGCTTGGGTTAAGCTTCACAGAATCTCATGCTTAGTCTGAACCTTAAAAGTCATGGAATCTATCCACATAATTTTGCCCTTGGAGGAACTGAAGTCCAGAAACAGGAAGTAACTTACCCAGTGACGTACAGGTAATTAATAGGACGTCTTGGGTGACGACCCAGGTGTCCTGATTCCCAGTTCTGAGGCTGGTCCCAGACTCCTCTGCTTCACCAGAATCCATGCCAAAGAGCTGCAGAAACAAGGTAGGTCGAGGGAGACGTGCACCTCAAGTGCCAGTTTTAAGGGGGCACTATGACAAATATTTCTACACAATACTTTTGAAAATTAAAACTAATGCAAAATAGCCATAATGAACAAAATAAACACAGGATCCAACTCTACATTTGCCTGGCTCACCTCACTTAATCCTAATCCTGGTCCTGTTGAATCCTGTCCCTACCTAAAAATGTGGTATTTTGCTCATCGTGGACAAGTTTGCATTAATTCTGTGCACAAGGCAAGTGCCCCGAGCCCCCCCACACACACACTAGTCCCAGCTCTGCCAGGGAGCTTCCAGGGGCCTGGGCCTGGGGAGACCTAATCAGTGAGGCTCACATGGTAAGACGGATGGTCACAAGGAGCTGCGTGCCTACGACCAATGGCCAGTCAGTTGGACAGAAGGACCCTCCAGATGAGGCCAGGGGCCATGGAAGAAAGGCAGCGAAAGAAATTTTTTATGGACTTAAAGTTGTTAATAACTCAAGTGCTCATGACACCAGCCTGAGCCATTCAAACATTAATCATTTAGGAATTTGCATGAAGTTCAGAACTTAGTTTCATAAAATCAACTGTGCAGGCACTAGGCGTGATGAGCTGGTTTGCCAACTAACACGAAAGAAATCTGGGCCTTGTAACTGACCACAAACTTGACCTGCACCCAGGAAGGGAGATGACTGCCAGAAACACAAGTGGAATCTTGGGCTGTACTCATGGGTTCAAAGGATTCAGGAGCCATGAGCCTAACTCCATGGGATGTCAGGGCCAAGAGAACACATTCTGGCCTCTTTGTAGGGAAGGATCAAGGTTGCTTTTTGAGGCTGGAGAGGTGTTTTTTATGGGTTGAATTGTGTCCCTACCAAAAGTTGAAGTTGTAACTATGAATGTGACTTTATTTGGAAATAGGGTCTTCGCTGAAGAGCAGTTTAGGGTGAGGTTATTAGGGTGGGTCCTAATCAGTATGACTGGGGTCCTTACAAAGGGGAATTTTGGACACAGGGCCAGACACACAGGGAGAATGCCATGTGAAGATAAAGGCAGAGATCAGCGTGAGGAATCTACAAGCCAAGGAACACCAAATATTGCCAGGAAACCCCCAAGAGCTAGGAGGGGGCATGGCACAGTTCCGTCTCGGAGCCCTCAGAAGCAATCAACCTTGCAGGCACTTTGGTTCTGGACCTCTAGCCTCCAGATCTGTGAGACAGTGACTTCTTGTTATTTTAAGCCACCCAGTTTATGGCAGCCCTAGGAAACTACTGCAGTCCTCCAGGGAGCATTTGGCCCAGAAGGCCCTTTAATGCCTGAAAGAAGCAGGGAGAACCTATCCACTCACATCCTCACAAAGCCACTCCCACATCTATCACAAGACCTGGCACATAGGAGACATGCACTGATTATTCATTAAGGAAGAAATGAATTTCAAAGCAATCCACTATTGTTAGAGGAAAAAAGAAGAGGTTGACACACCATGTTACCCTCCTTCAACTTCTCACTCACGCTAAGCATGAACCACTTTAACCTCATTTTATTTTTAGGGGATGAATCATAGGATGTCAAACATAGGCAGCATCCTAGAGATTATGGAGTTCAACTCTGCACTCAGCAGATGAGGAAAATTGGATTCAACCAGGAAGGGAACAAGTTCTTTTCCATATGCATGTCTCCCTCCCACAAAGGGGATCCCTTTTCCCTTTTCTTCCTTCGTACAGTAACACATCTCCCTAGTACTTTGCTGTCATCTACAGCTTAAGTTTAAATGAGAAGTTATTCAAGCCTACCAGAAGTCAGGAAAGATCTGACGCCTCTGGTGGTTCTCACGGATTAGCAGCATCTGGCATTTATGGAGAATTCGTTCTGTGCCAGGCCCCCTGCACCAAGTACTTTGATGGAATCATCTCATTTAAGGCTCCAGCAATGCTACCAGGTAGGTTTTTGTTTTTTAATCCCTGATTTATAGGCGAGCAAAGAGGTTCAGAGAAGCAAAGCAATAACTGCCCACGTGGTAGAGTTCAGATTTAAACCCAGGTCAGGCGGTTTCTGAAGTCCATGTTCTTATCCCACTCTGCTGTGCTGGGACTGAACAAGCCCCTGGGGCCATATGAGGCGTTGGAAAGCAGTCTGGGGAGGAATCAAGGAATATGGGTACATCTGCGCCCAGCCAACAACCTGCTTGCAAATTTCAACCTGCCTGCAACCTTAAGCAACTCTCTTTGTCCCTCTAGGCCTCGGTTTCCTCATCTGCAAATTAAAGTCGCTGGCCTAGATGATGGATGTTGAAATATTTCCAAATGGACTATAGCTCTATTCATTCGTTCCACAAATATTTATTAAGTGTCCATTATATGCGGAACATCATTCCAGACACTGAGACTAGAATAATAAGCAGAATAAACAAAGTCCCTGCATTCATACAGTTTGTATTTTAGGGACAGTGGGGGTGAGGAATACAGAATAAACAGGTTAAAATTCCAGAAAAAGATAAGCTCCAAGAGGAAAATAAAGCAGGGTGAGAGACTGGCAGTCACAGGTGCAGGACGGTGGCTGTTTTACATGGGGTGCTCAGCGAAGGCGCTCTGAGGAGGGGACTTTTGAGTGAAGAATGATGGAGAGGAAGGCCTAAGAAATGAGCACACGGGGCTAAATGGGGTTGGAACTAAAGCACTAACACCTTACAAGGGTCTGCTGCAGGAAAACAGCTGTTGAAAATGCCTCAGATTTTGGTAAGATACATATGGAAGCTTTGTTTAAGCCTCTCCCCCGTAGTATATCTTTCATCATGAATTTCAATCTCATGGTATAATTTTAGCATTACTTAGTAGCCTCAAATTATATAATTTGCTCAGGTTCAGTTGTAATTAACTAACTGTCATGAGCTTGTCTGAGTGCCTCCTGGCCAGAGCAGGTCGCAGGGAAGGAGCGGAGTAGAGGAACGCAGTTTTGCTCACGGGTCTGCTGGTTAGTCTTTTCTGGAGCTCTCAGATGACCTGGGGTCATTTAGGTTGTATCTGACCCAGGTTTACCTGTCTAAAGCTTCAAGAAGAAATGTGTTCTCCAGTCCGTGGGGTCTTCTTCTTACGTAGCTCTGGCAGCTGCTCACTTCTCTCCGCGTTCCCCACGGTGGCCAGGCTGCCACCATCTGTCATCTCTCACTCCCCTCTTGCCCCTTTCCAACCTACACTCCATGCCGCAGCCCGGATGATATTTCTAAGGTGCAAATTGTATCGCGTCACTGAAAACCATCCAGTGGTGGTGGTTACACAACTGTATGGGTTTGTCAAAATCCATAGAAACACCTACTTAAAGAGAGTAAATTTTATTGTACGTAAACTACATCTCCATAAACCCAACTTACAAATTCTATCACCAAGTGATAGTCGCTGCTCTCAAAGTAAAAATCTAACCTTCACAGGGTAGTGGTATTATATAGTGGTTAGATGCTCATCGTCAGCCTGGATTCAAAGCTCAGCCTCGTGACATCAATTATTAACTGGGTGGCCTTGACCAAGTCGCCTAAACTTTGTACTCATTGTCCTTATTTGTCAAAATGAGATAATCATAGTACTTACCTCCTAGAGTTGTCCTGAAGATTCAATTAGTTAATTCCTCTAAAGCACTCAGACTAGACCTGGCTGTGTAAGTGCTCAGTAAATGTGCAGAATCACCGACCAGCCCAAGGATGCTCCTTGTGGTCAGACCCCGCAGGAGTGTTCTAGGGCTGCCGGAACAAAGCACAGACTCGGTGGCTCACACAGCAGAACCATGTTGCCCCCCTGCTCCGAGGGCTGGGAGTCCAAGATCAAAGTGTTGGCAAGGTTGGTTCCTCCTGGGGGCCGAGAGGGAGGGGCTGTTCCCGGCTCTCTCCCAGCTCCCAGTCTTTGGTGTTCCTCGGTTTATAGTGCATGACTTTAATCTCTGTCTTTATTGTCACATGGCATTTTCCCTGTGTGCATCTGTCTCTAAATTTCTCCCTTTTTATAAGGACACCAGTCATATTGTATGAGCCCACTTAACTCCCACACGACCTCATCTAACAACTAATTCTACTGGCAACAACCTTTTCTCCAAATAAGGTCACATTCTGAGATACCAGAGGTTAGGACTTCAACAGATAAGTTTTGGAGAGACATAAGAACCTGTAAAAGGCCCTGACATGTTCTCTCATCATCTCTTCCCGTAATATCTCTTCCAGTAACCTCCCACATCCACCAGTTTGTTTGGAAAAGTCCTCCTCATCCCTCAGGTTTCAGTTAGACATTCCTTGCTTGGGAAAGTCCTCCCAAACAGTGTGCCAAACCGCCAGTATAGATGGGCGCCTTCCTCCTGTTCTTCCAGTGTCCCTGTACTTACACACCTCCCACAGCCCCCATCACTTTGCTCTATACTTGCCGGTTTACTGACCGGTCTCCTTGTAAGACTTCAAGTACCTCATAGACAAATTGCTTAATATTGAGTCTGAGAGACCCAAATGGATCCTAAGTAAATATTTGTTGAATGAATGAACGTTAATGTCTTTTCTCATATTCAGGGCATCAGCTATTTTATGTTGTCTGTGGACAGTTAGAAGAGAAAAGCTGCAGAAAATAGAAAGCAAAAAGTTTTTAAGCAACATATCAGTCAACGTTTAGCTTGAAGATCAGCAGCCATGCTAGGTATTTAAAATAAAAGGCATTAATACAGGGAATTGGTCGCACAGTTGTGGGATGGGTGTAAATGCAACAATCTTTGTATATACGCAACTGCAGGAAGCAGCTGCCACCCCTAGGACTGAGGGAACAGAAGGGAAATGGAGAGGTCACCATAAAGAAAGTTAGAGGGGGGAGCTGTGCATGAGGCTGAGACCCCAGACGCTGTAGCTTGGACCTCTGAATCAGAGAACCCCCACGGCTGGTACAGGGCGCTGAAAACCGCTGGAGGCGGAGCCATGACTGTCCTCTTCTCAGCAGGGAGCGCCAGGGAGGGTGGTTTACACACTCCCAGCCCAGCACCACAGAGCAGAGAGCAGAGTGTGGGGTGGGAGCTGAGAGCCAGCAGGCACAGAACCAACGCACACAAAGAACCTGATAAAAAGTATATCGATTTCACAGAATTCAGAGACTCCTGCCCCTGGGTGTGCAGCCCGGGCACTGCCACAGGCTGGCTGTATTCCTGGGCAAGCGGCTCCCTCCCCCAGGCTCCAGGCTCCTCATTCGCAGGAGGGGAGGAGGGGCCAGATGGTGGCTAACAGGGACCCCAAGCGTGAGCAGAGGCTTGGCAGGAGACGCACCAGGAGTTGCTGGGGATTTCTGAATGATGCTGTCATTCAAGGAGATCCTGTCCCAGGCTTCAGCTGTCACACAAACGTGACATTTCCCTTTTCCCATTCTGCAGCTACTGTTTACATGCTCCGCAGAAGCCAGAGGAGGAGGTCAGGGCTGCATTTCTCCAGTATGGTGACCCCAGTTTAAACAAACTGATTCCAAAATAACCTTTACATGAAACGAACAAATAACTGCAAAGCTGAGGGTGGAGGAGCAGAGGGGGGAACAAGTGGGGAGGAGGTGACTGAAAAGAGCACACTGTGTGCACACACGGCCTAAGCCTACTGTCTGTCTAGTCCACCTCTACAGTATCATCTCCCGTCCACTTGTCCTGGTCTGCTCTCTGCCTCCCTGGCCATGTTGGGAGCTCGGTGATGCTGCAGGGAGACTCGGTTCAAGTCTCAGCTCAGCCGCATGCCAACCAGGAGACCTAAAGGCAGACATTTATTTTTGCCTCCTGTGAGCCTTCATTTCCTCCCCTGCAGTCCTGCCCGCTTCTCAAGGTCATAAGGATCAAATGAGCTAATAGGTGGTGCTGACTGAGCCAGTCTGGGTGCTAGTTACCAAAGTGTAGTCGTTTTATAAAAACTCATCAGGCATTAAAGTACATTTAAAAAATGTATTAAGTACTTAAGGTGTTTGCACTTCTAGGTATGCTGAATAAAGTGCATCCCCCACATAGGCCTGGGGGATATGTGATCAGCAATAATTACTAAAAATCATTAATAAAACAAGCACCCCCAAAAGAGTAAAACTGTAAGAAGGGAAAGTAAAATGTGATTGCAATTTGGTTTAATTTAGGAACTCACAGTAGTATCAGGTGATAAGAAGTGACCTGCGCAGATAAGAGAGTAAACGGGCAAAGGAGCAGAAGAGCTCTGGATATTACAGGCGTGGCTGGTATTCCGGAGGAATATCCCTCATTTAATTCTGGCTTTGCAGAAGGAAAGCATGTTCAGGGTAGAAAATTTTGGAACCAAAGGAAAACATGGAAAAGAAAATAAAAATAAGCCATGATTTCACAAAATGAAAAGTTACTTTGTGAATTACAAATTACTGGACTATGAGGGACTGACTGGCGAAAATTTTCTCTATTCTTTTCCTCTTCTAGACAGTCTCAGAAATTGATAATCTACAAGCCAGATGGGGGCGGCAACACAAGGGCCTGCAGAAACCAGGAGGGCGGTGCAAGGAAACAGGCGGGCGAGCCGCGCAGGGCCGTGGTGGCTGCAGCCGGCCACTGGCCTGGCAGGCAGGGGCTCGTGGGCGTGGAAGAGACCGTGGCAAACCCAACACCGTGTGGCTACTTAGCAACTCAGTTCCCACCCACTCTTCCGTATTTCCAGTGTGGACCACTGACACTTTTAGGAGAAGTTGAGTGTTTGGTGTTTTATGTGAGGGTCCCCAATTTTTAAATGTTAGTGCCTAATGAACTCTCTAGGCCAAACCAAAGACATCTATGGGCTGGACATGGCCTGTGGGCGCCAATCTGCAGCCTCTGCTAAGGGCAAAGGGGTAGGAGAGGGTTAGGGGAAGCAACCTGGGAGCAGATTTTAGTTCAGAAAAGTCCTGATGCAGCTGGTGTGGAGGGCCTGGAGCTGGTGAGATGACGTTCCTGGTGGGTGATGGTCGGTGGGCTGAGGGGGGCCAGTGCAGAAGGAAGCTGGAGAGAAGAGGGGTGTGGAGTTGGGAGAATGGATGCAGGGAGGGGCACATGAAGGAGGGGTGCTAATGGTGCGGTTCTGCCTGGAAGCCTGGGCGTCAACTGTTCAGGTCTGAGGGAGGAAGTGCCTTGTTTGGAAACACAACCGTCAAGGAGGAACTGCCTCGTATTAGAGATGCCTCCTCCCAAAATAGCGAAAAGACCCAACAAGCCACGGAGTACAGGGCAAAGGGCAGAGCCCTGAAGGTGGCGAGGAGGCAAGCACTTGTGGGCTGAGCAGCCTCGACCAGACGTCAGGGGAAGGGAAGAGGAAAGAAGTGGAAACCAAGTCCCACACCGTGAAGGGGCCGGGCTTGCTCGGTCTGAAGGAGAGAAGGCTCAGGGGAAACGGGAGCGGGCTCGCTTGTTTGCCGAGATCATCTACTGGGCAGCTACATGGGACAGCGCCCCAGCCGTGCTGGGCCTGGGGGATATGTGATGAGCAAAAGCGAAGACGATCGATGCTGCCCCTGCCCTGAAGGAGTCTTCTGGGAACGCTACTGATTGAATAATCTCACAAATAAACGCAAAGGTGCAAAACTGAGATAAGGGCTGGAAGGAGAGGGTGCCAGATGCTGAGGGCGTGTCCCGAGGGGGAGGACCTACTTCCAGGGGAAATGATGATTCAGCTGAGAGCTAAGAGATGAGTAAGCACGGCTGATGTGAACAAAGGGAAGGAAAGGCTTTTAGGCATCTGGAACAGCACATACAGAGGTACCTGACTCACAGGAAGGGCTGAAGAGGCCAGTGTGGTTGGGGCGCACCACAAGGGGAGCGGCGGCTGTCTTCAAAGGCCCCTGGGCTACTGGACGGATGAGGGACGGAGTTTGTGCCGTGGGGTCAGCGAATGCAGCCATTAGGGACGCCTCAGACACACTTCTTAATAGACTGATGGAGGCGTTCGGGATTTGTTGTTTGCTTTGGGTTTATTAAAATAAAAAGCTACCAAGTATTCAGTTTCACATGTCCCCGGCCCTGGTCCAAATCACTGTCTCATGAATCCACATGAGAGACTCAGGAGGATGTTCTGCTTACCGTTGTCATGTAACAAAGGCCCCCAAAGCTTGGTGGCTTGAACAACCATCATTTTAGTATTCTCTCTCTTGATTAGGGAAGTGGCTCAGCTGGGTGGGCGTTTTGGAGGCTTCCCAGGGGGTGGCTGGGACTGCAGTCATCTGAAGGCTGGGGCTGCTCCAGAATGGCTGGAAGACCCCGGGGCATCTCTCTCCTTGTGGCTTCTCCACCCCGCGGCTAGTTCGGGCTGCCTCTCCCCATGGAGGTCTCTGGGTAGTATGCCGTTGACCCTTGAACAACATGGGGGTTCTCAGGCACCCCCAGAACAGTTAAAACTCTGAGTATAACTTCTGACACC